AAAATTTAAAGTGTGGCAGTTTAGGAAACATCTTCTGTTTTTAAAATCAACGAAAAATAAAAAGTTCACGATTCACAACATGAATAGCACCTGGCGTCCATTACGAATTCTCAAACCTCATTCCCAAGACACTAATATCTTTCAAATTATTCAAACATTATTTTACTGTTGGCCATTTGCTTTCATTTGAACATGTAGAAAATCCATTAGCTAATCTTCAAACTTGTCGATCATTTTAACAAACATGACGTTTGGTGAAAAAACTCAAACTCGCGTCTGCGATATTCTGTAATGGCTGCCTAACAACAATAGCTGACTGCTACTGTTATTTTTACATTTTTACACAATTCTGATTTTTGCTGATATTACTGTTAAGATGCCTGCTGCTGTCTTGGTGAATCTTAACCTCAGCCCCGTCGCCGGGAATGAATTGGTGCTGGGGCACAGATTTTGTTCTCAGAAAATTTGAAGAATTAAAGGCCAATAGAACTCATTTCTGGCAATTTTGAGGGGCCAGAAACGTATCTAAATCTAGCCTATATATCTTTTTGATTTTGTATAAAGACACTGTAAATGAATCAATCTCTGCTGGATTAAAGAAGGTTTTGCTGGTGCTTAATTCTCACTTGCTGAGGCCCAGCTCCCACAAACCCCACCCTAACGACAGGGCTGCATAAGCTAAGGTTTGAATTATTCCGATATAGGTGGACATTGGGTTTGCTTTATGAAAAATGCTTCTTGGGTCTAACTTAAAAATACTGAAATATTCAGTATAGTTCTATATATACTGTGAAAAGTTTGTTTGAACTCTAGGTTTATATTTGAAGATGAGTTGACTATAAAAATTTACATGATTTTTAATAATGTCTGATAGATTTGTAGCTAGCCACTGATATCTGCATGTTTATTTGATTTTCAAACAGTTTATGATTCAAACCTAATTTCTGGAGTGAAAACCTCGTTTAAAGTTTGTATATTTATTTTAAATTAACCAGCCAGGTCTGACAGTTTATGAAACTGTCTGTTAAAATAATGATTTGTTTATTATTTTACTGTTTCAAATTTTAATTTTTAAACAGAAGTTACTTTTTACACGTCTGTCAGTTGTCAGGTAAAAAGTTGTTCATAAGAAAAGAAAACCTAAAATTTAGCTATGTACAGGGTTCACCAAGATCCTTTTCTACCAGCTCGTCAGTGATTAAAACTCTTGGCACTCATAGCAATGACTTATTCTACTGCACTTGATTTTTTCAGGAGATGAAATGAAGAACTTAGAATAACTATTTTACTAAATAATATAAATGATGTTTATGGACTCTAAAGCTAAAAACTTAATAAAGATAAAATACAGATTTTTAGGAAATACAGTAATCTGATTGGATAATAAAACTTAAGCTGAAATGGATTTTAGTGTTGGACCAATCAAAAGACTGGAACAACGTCTGTTTATGCTCATATTTCTTTTCAAGGTACACAATTTGAAATAAATTAGTACAATCTATCTTTAAATACCTTAAACAAGTGGTTGCCTAGCAAGATACGCCCACTTTCCAGATTCATTTTCAGTATATCAAGGGCAGTCACCTGTCTGTGTTAAATCATACCAAAATCTAATTTATTTTTGAGGTACACAATTTGAAATAAATTAGTACAATCTATCTTTAAATAACTTAAAAAACTAGAATGTTACAGATCAGTGAAACTATGAAACTCTCTCAACAGTTGAAATAAAATATCTGTTTAAAACAGAGAACTGTTTATTTTGTGTGCACGGTGCCAAAGATTCTACAGATACCAACTTCTACTGGAAGTATCTTATATTTAGATTTTTATACTTCAGTTAGTTTCATTTTGACAAGAGTCAAACATTTCATCAAGATTACTGCCAATCAAATATTAAAAATATGTAATCTGGCAATAGAACGCCAATAAATGTAATCTGGCAATGCTGTGAAATTGTTGCTATGTAATCAGACACTGGGATCTTTCTGGTTCTCTGAGAAGGTATTTATAATAAAGAGAGACGATATTTGATAGTTCCGTTGTTTCACTGATTATAGTAAGCCTAGTTAAGAACAGTGTCCCCTTGAAAGCTTTTTTGATTTCCCAGGGCTCTGTCCACAAAAATCTGAATGAATTTAAAATTCCACACAAATTCTTATCATAAGTTTTTGAAGGAAAAGGACCTTTGGCAATTTGCTGTTTTGTTTTTCAATGGTTGTAGGTTCAATTTCATATTAAAGCCATAACAAAGTCTGCCAGTGGATCTTAACAATGTCTGCCGGTGGATCTTAACTATGCTCCAAAACCTGTAGATGTACGCACACAAAAATTTAAGGAAATAAAAAATATCTATCTAGCTATATCTACCAAGAATCTAAAAATATCTATTAATTATATTAGAAGTGGTCTTAATCCTATAGCTTTCTAGCTAATACTATTTCTTAAGTAGGCCTTAATCTTTTTCATCTATCTGGTTATTCATTGACTAAACAGCAGGCCATAATCAAGATGTGCTTTCCCTGAAAAGTTTAGCAGATTAGTGATGTTTTGCTTCAGCAATTGGTCCATTGGAAATATTTATATTTCAAGTAAATCTTGATATCTGAAAGTCTACCTCATGACTTCGCCAGTCAAATTTTTAAACCATCGTTTAACCATGCCTTCTTTATCAATGAATGGATGGGACAGTGGTTCCTGTTAGTCACAATTTTCTTCCAGAAGGAACTTCTTGTAATGGTTCAGACATTGATCTAGCAGAAACAAAGAAGGCTTGGTCATCAGTAGGTGTTAATCTTTGATAATCTTGCTCACAACTTCATTGACAACATGCCTCGCTAGACACCCACAAGTTACTCAATACCAGACGTCATTCTCTAATAGTTTTTAAGAACTTTATTTCATTATGTCAAACAAGTTGGTTCTGGTAAATTTCATTCCTGACAGTGAGTGGGTTTGGTCAAGTCTAGTATAAACCCTGTGCTTCGCTCACTAAGCTTTTGATAGTAAGTCAGCCTAGAGGATGTAAAGGGTCTAGTATGAAAGTCATTATACCAAGGAACTTAATTCAATGCAGTTTTTCAATCAATTGTTTTCTGGTATGGGTTTTTTAATAAGATATGCATAAGATTTCTATAAGCCAGTCTAGAGGATGTAAAGGATTTACTCAAGTGTGAAATATAGTGTAAGCCAGTCTAGAGGCTGTAAAGGATTTACTCAAGTGTGAAATATAGTGTAAGCCAGTCTAGAGGCTGTAATGGGTAAAAGAAGAAATTGGACTTTTTTCAAGTCGATAGATCTCACAATTTCCACAATCTACTACTGTTTCCCAGTAAGCCAGTCTAGATGGTGTAAAGGATGAATGAATTGACTGACACTTAATAAAGTCAAGAGATCTCACGATGTCCACTTCATAAAATTTAATCATCTTTCGGCCATTGACGGAATCATCGAAGCATCGAAGTATGTGTCAAATTTACAGATTACTATCTCCGGTAATCTCAAGTCTCTCCTAGCAACCATTGAAACTTCAATCAATTTCTACTTCTTCTATTCAGTTTCAATTTGTTCTGATAATTTTATTATTTCTCTAGCGTAACCTGCTCTGTCAATTAAACATCGAGAATTGGTCAGCTAGAAGTTTACTAGGAGTCCATTACTTGACCAATCTTTAATATAAAACTAGAACTCTATAGCAGGGAATGCTTTCTCTTGCATTCTGATCAGGGACGTATCTAATAAAAGGCAGGGGGGGGACTAAAAATGAGCACTCCAAGGCCTGAAGAGAAAATTCATGAAGTGCTCATGGACATTCACAGGCCTTAGGGGAGGGGACGGGGCACATGGCCCAATGACCCACCCCATAAATACGCCACTAAATAGGATATAGGATTCCAAATGGCTCTGATAACTCTATTACTCGGCTCCAGATTAGGAGCTTAAAAGAACAGTACAAATAAGTCAGTCCAAATTTATGACCAGAAAACAGAATCCAAGTACATACAATCATAATGCATAGCAATTAATATATTATATTCCAATTAGCAAGCCTATTTTACTGTGAGTACATATTTCAAGACACTTTCCAATTTAATTCTGAGTTTCTACAGATCATAAATTTTACCCAAACTGGCATTTCCAATTTTTAAGCGGAATTTAGCAATTATTTCTGCATGAAATGTTGATGGAGATGCTATCGGAATCAGGAGCCAATCTGCCAAGATGATTTACGATTTCCGTTTCACTTCATTTACCCTGTTGGGAGAAATATTATCCTCAATTTGACAGGAAAAACATAAACTGTAGATGAGGTTAAGAGATAACTTGGTCAAATTTACCATCTTTTATAGTTGTTAAAATTTATTGGACAGAGAATATGTTTTCTTACAAAATTCCACAATATCTTTACACCCTTTAGTTTGGTCTCCTCCAATTACAGTGTTGATACCAAGTTCCACATTTACAAAAAAATATGCTTTAAGATAAGACTGACATAACTTGGTTCAATTTGATTTTGTTAAGTTTGAATTTATTGGACAGAGAATAAGTTGGCATACTCCAAACCACAGTGTTGAATCAGTTTAGGTTGACAGATAACTTGTATTGAACAGGACAAAGTTGTTAAGTTTTTTTTTACACCCTCTAGTTTGGCTAACTCTGATCAATATTACAGAAAAATTGAAACGCAGTATTTGTTTTTTTACATCCTCTATGTTGTCTTATTGCTGTCTTTATCCTGAAATATATGGCAGTGTAATTTGTAGAAACATGGTGTTCAGTAGGATTTATAGGAGTAGTGTATAATAACAGGGTACAGTATAGTGTAAGATTATGAAGGATGGTGAAAGATACAGGGAGTCTATATTATTATTATTATTAACAATAACACAATATTTTCTACCATCAGAATTTATCCCACATCACAGTTGTTCACCAGACTGTTGTTTCTGTTCACCGAACAGTAAGTTATATCTGTTCATAGGACAGTTGTTCCTGTTCACATGACAATTGATCACAAGACAGTTGATCCTGTTCACATGACAGTTGATCACAAGACAGTTGTTCCTGTTCACATGACAGTTGATCACAAGACAGTTGATCCTGTTCATATGACAGTTGTTCACAAGACAGTTGATCCTGTTCACATGACAGTTGTTCACAAGACAGTTGATCCTGTTCACAGGACAGTTGTTCACAAGACAGTTGATCCTGTTCACATGACAGTTGTTCACAAGACAGTTGATCCTGTTCACAGGACAGTTGTTCACAAGACAGTTGATCCTGTTCACCAGACTGTTGTTCCTGTTCACCAGACAGTATTAAAAGTGTTGGAGAAAGTGTTTTTTTGTTATTATCATGATAAATTCCAAGTAAACACTATACAGAAATTGAAAGGGATGATGTTTTATTTTTATTAATGTAGTTGGGATTAATAAGAACACAAAATTTTTCAATATCCAACTGTTTCTAATGAATGCAATTAAATTTGAAAAAATGGCTGAAAACTGTAAAAATGAAGCAAAAACAGGAAATGTGTTTATTTAAATTAAGAAATTTGAATGCAGGAAAAAAAATCAGTTTTTAAGGAATGGAAATTAAAAGCTTTTCAGTCTAGTAGTCTTCAATCTGTTCTTGTTCAATTTGAATTGAAACCAAATCAGAACAAGTATGAAAAGATTTCAGAAATCTTAGAAATTCTGTTCTATAAAAGATCACCAGACCACTGAAAGTTTTTATGAAATGGAATAAATAGCCATTCGGCTCGTCTTGCTGTCTAAATTCTACTAATGACTAATTGATCAGGGAATCTTGGAGATATTTATTGTGGAACTGTGTCAGAGATTTTACGGAAATCAGAAAAGTGTCAGATTTATAACTAATTAAATATTATAGTTCAACATTAAAGCCCTGTTTCCATTGCCAATATAGTGAGGGTGTAAAATTGAAGATTGAGGGTGTAAAATTGAAGATTGAGGGTGTAAAATTGAAGATTGATAGTGTAAAATTGAAGATTGAGGGTGTAAAATTGAAGATTGAGGGTGTAAAATTGAAGATTAGTATGGTAAAATGAAGATTGTGGCCTATCTGGATTTAAAAGATATGAGAGCCACTGTAGATACGCTCAGTTTGACTGCCGATCAGAGCACTGTCAGCTCAGTTTCATCTCAATAAAATAGCTGATAAAGGATAGAAATTGGCAAGCTACTAGCAAGATTTGTAGATTATGACTAATTTTGCTAGAAAGCAGAACATGACAAACTCACAAGTATTGATGTATTGTTGTGAAGCTAACTTGAAAGTAAATATTGATTAATTAGTGAGATATTATATTTGATAGAGTAGTTATTAATCATCTTATAAACATTTGGTTTCTTTACATTCTCTCTATTATATATCTTACACAGAGCTCTTACCATTCTATTTTTTATTGAAACTTTAATCATCTTTATTCTATGTCTCTCATCTTCATTCTTTGTCTCTCATCTTCATTCTCTGTCTTTCATCTTCATTCTCTGTCTCTCATCTTTATTCTCTGTCTCTCATCTTCATTCTCTGTCTCTCATCTTTATTCTCTGTCTCTTACGAACAGATTACTACAGAGCTCATAACTTACTTTCTCATATTTTCATCACAGACTAATGAAAAGGCATCAAATTCTGAATTAGGGTACGTTCAAGAAGATATTAAATATAGTAAAAAAATAAAAATATTCAAGATATCTGATTCTAATACTAAATATTTTGAAAATGACCAGTGGGAATCAACTTAGTGTTAACTTCAAATGCCTCCATTGTATTTATATGACACTAGATTGCAAACATAAAAAATCTCACCCAGCTTTCAGAACAGACTGACCGGAGGAAATAGATTTAACCTTGTTAAATTTTCTCTCTTTAACTCGGTACTAAAATATATTGCTGAGACTAGGAGTAGGAATTATCAGATAATAACAATAATTAGACCGTCTGCTAAACAGTGTTTAATTACATCGTATACCTACATAAAAAATAGTTCCTGTAAAACTCAGTTTGATAATTGTGACGGGTGTGGTATACTTACTCTTCTAGACACCTGATACCACTTTTCATTATGAAATACTTACTCACTTATAATTGATATACTATCTCATATGGCAGTTTTGTGCCAGGCAGGGTATACTTACTCTTCTAGACACCTGATTCCAATTTTCATTATGAAATACTCATTTATGTGTCACCAATGTGTTTTTTAGGATTTCGGGTTTTAATTTGTAGTTTGTATGACGTATGGTTAGTACTTGGTTTACTTATTTGAGCTGTTTTAAAAATCATATTTAATGATAATTTGAATATACGACCCCTGTATGACCTCACCTCGACGACCATACCTGTATTTAACGATTATCATTGATCCAGTTGACAATATCCTGATTGTGCTGCAGATTTTACGACCAAGATTTTGTCCAGATAACGACAGGCTTGGTTTCAGTTAACACCTGTAGCTATCCTCATAAAACTTACGCTTTTCGTACTCACTGGAGCCAATCAGAATGCACCATACAGACAACAATGGTTGATCATAAACTGTACTGGACAATCACCAATAGTATAATCCATTTTAAAGAATTAACGGAAAGTTTTTATTTGGGGCTTCAAATACTTAAAATACTTCCTGAATTAAAACTAGAAATTCTCATATAATTTGGAAGTTATCTGTGTTTATTTGGACTGATGGTTTTCACCCTGTTTTTGTATGTATTTACTTCATTACAAGGACAATAATTTACCCCCTGTTCCTAAAATAAATTTTATTGAAATTATACAATTTAGCAATGAGAAACACCACAGTTGTGACAAAATTTAATGGTTGAATTTTTGGAGAAACAGGGATCCGTCAAAACAAAAGCTTCAAAAATTTGATAAAAGCTTTAAAAATTTGAAGTCTGAAAAAGGATTTAAAGCTAAAAATTATGTTGTTTTGGTTGTTAGCTGTCTTTATCTTTATTTCATCCAATAAGATGTTAAATAGAAGAATATTAAACTCTATTCCATTTGCTGCTTAATGTCAATATTTACCTGACTGCACACTGCATGACATTGCTCTCCCTATCTCTCTTAATGCTATAAAGTATAGAAAAGGAGGATGTAAAACTCCATTCACTTCCAGGTTTGACTAGTACACTAACTGACAGTATCTCTTGTTGTTTTATTGCCTGATAATCAGTAGAATTTCATTACTAACATCAAAGGCAGGTTGTGATACTATAAATAGACCTACATTAATCACTATAATTATACAGTACAACACAATCATACTTTCTACCACATAAAATACTCTAGATTCTAAAATACTCTAAAATACTCTAGATTCTAAAATACTCTAGATTCTAAAAAACTCTAGCTATATTCTTAAATACTCTAAAATACTCTAGATATATTCAAAAAATACTCTAGATATATTCTAAAATACTCTAGATATATTCTAAAATATTCTAGATATATTCTAAAATACTCTAGATATATTCTAAAATACTCTAGATATATTCTAAAATACTCTAGATATATTCTAAAATACTCTAGATTCTAAAATACTCTAGATATATTCTAAAATACTCTAGATATGTTATAAAATACTTTAGATATATTCTAAAATATTCTGGCTATATTCTAAAATACTCTAGATATATTCTAAAATACTCTAGATATGTTATAAAATACTTTAGATATATTCTAAAATATTCTGGCTATATTCTAAAATACTCTAGATATGTTATAAAATACTCTAGATATATTCTAAAATACTCTAGATATATTCTGAAATACTCCAGATTCTAAAATACTCTAGATATATTCTATAATATTCTAGATATATTCTATATCCATACGCCTAAAGTCTTCTGTTGAAAAGCTATCCTCGATTTTCTGAAATAGAGATGTCCTGGTGAGGGTTGTTTATCCGATACAATACTTGTCAGGTAATTGTCAAGTCTCACATTCTGAAGCTGTTTTATTAATCTTTTCGAAACACCTGATACTTCTCCTTGGAGGAGTCCACTACTATACAACTTCTATTTTCAATTTTGCCATACTTTCGAAAAGATTTTGATTAACACAGTTGTCTTGCTTGTATGGATTTTTAATATTTCTAAACTCAAAATTATAATCTATTAATCTTTTTTGGCACTAGATAAAATTTGACAAGTGCAGTGGCAGAGTGGTGTTAAGATCTCTTCAACATGCTGATTTATATGTGATTATTTGGTAATCCTCCATAATCTTATTCTTAAAACTAATGGCATATTCTCTGTCACTGGATGTGGATTGCCGTAAATCATCAGGCAAGAGAGGACATGTTCAAAGTGACCGTCGAAACTTGACCACAAATTGATGTCACTTTTGACCAAAAGTATTAAATGTCATAATTAAAAAAATCTTCAGTGCAGACAAAAATGAGAAAATGGCATATTAATGAGAAAGTAATTTTTTGACCAGAAATAAAATATTTTGACAGTTTCTATTATTGTTAAAACATAAAAATAAATGTCAGAATTTACATGTTGTATTAACGTGTAATATCAGGCTTAATAAATTAGTTAATGGGCTGGAAAGGGGAGCTTTCTTCATTCTGTATTTTTATGACATAGCATGGCTATAAATTTTACAGTTGGAAGTCAAAAAGAAGCGGGCAAATTAAGAAATTTTCCATAATGGGTGGGTCATCTGTAATAGCCCAGAATGTTTCAGAAAATGACCCCATTTCATTTTATTTCATCAGAACTGGACAATTCTCTTAGATATTAAATTCAAATTCTCTTGTTTGAAATCAAAATCTTCCTTAATGCACACTGCATGGTGTGGTTCATCTTCATTAGGCCAATTAGTTTCAGTAAAGTATCATTTCCTTTCATTTTATTTCATCAGGACTGGACAATCTTTTAAATATATATCAAATAAAGCACAGTTATTGGACGATTGTGTTAGATATTACTAGTATAACCTGGACTATTGTGTTAGATATTACTAGTATAACCTGGACTATTGTAGATAGACACTGAAGAAGAAGAAGAAGAAGATATCTTATTCATAATTTGTCATAATATTAGATTTCTTGATACTAGAATGACAGGGCTAGGGGTGGATTAATTTCATGACTGGACATTTGTGACTAACTGATCTCTGGACTTAAGAAGAAGTCTTGATGTTAGAAGCTGTCTTGAGAATGGAGGGTGGGGGGTTTGTTTTAAAAACTGTGGTCTTTCATGATGCTTACACTAAAGATATCTTGACATTCAGAA